AGCCCTGAACACAGAGGCTCAGAGAGCTTCCTGGTTGATAAGCACCTCTGCTCTTGAGAGGGTAGCACATTGGGAACCCTCCCAGACCTTGCCTTCTGTGTCTGTTTATATCCTTTTCTATAATAAATCTGTATTCCTAAGTATGGTATATTTCCTGTGAGTTCTGTGAGTTTTTCCAGCAAATTATTAAACCTAAAGGAGTAGCAGGAACCAGCACGTCAGAAAGTAAGGTTGTCTTGTGGACTCCTGAGCTTGAGGATGGCATCCTGAAGGGGTAGTGGGAAACCAGCCCAAATTTGTGGCCAGCAGGTCAGAAGGTCAGGGTGTTGTTTAGACTCCCCAAATTTGCAGTTGGTGTCTGCCTATTTAGCAGTCCGAAGGACAGAGTCCTTTTAACTTGTGAGCTCTGTCCTAGCTTAGGGTGGCTAGGGTAAGAAACAGAGAGTGCCACAGAGGCATCTAACAATGAGGATGAAGCAGCAGAAAGGTAGGGACTGATCAATCTCTACATTTGGAGGACTGGATTCATGCTGATCCTTACCATACATCATCTAATCCAACTGTTTGTTTACAGATGAAGCTCACAGAGGCAAAATAACTTACTGAGTCACACAGCCAGGAAAGGTAGAGATGGAACTAGAACTTGAGTCTTCTTGTCTCAGCCCCAGGATCCCTCCAACATGCCACACTGACCCAGAGAAAATCAAAATGCTGTTTTGCTGGAATGTTCAACATCTTTACCAACTAGTCCAGTAAGGGCACTGATTAATCAGTAGAGCATGTCAGGCTGTACATGGTACCTTCTGGCTGACTATCAGCCATGGCTGTTTCTATACCTAAGGCTACCTGGCAAGAGCTCTAGTTCTTAACCTGATCATGATGGCCATCACTGAACTTTGCCAGCTCTTCCATTTCCTTGGAGAAAATTCTGCATTTACATGATGGCATATCTAGTCTCACCCCACCCCTCAATTCTATGAGAGAAGAGAGAGAGAGTGTGTGTGTGAGTGTGGTGGTATCAGCAATCTCAGATAACAGAGGGCCGTCACATGGGAACAAGATGACAAAAAGGCTGATTGCTGTTACTGTGCACTCATCTGTCAGAGGCACTGTAAAACGAACACCATGATTAAAGGCATTATCCAAATCACAGGCACAGCCCTGAGATGGACACCAGGCGTGGGTGGAGGAAACAAGATGGGAGGCTCTTCTTTCCCAAGCCTGGCACCAGAAGAATCAGATCTAGGAAAGGCCTATTAGATCACCTCTCCTCTGGGCCAGCTGGAAAGCAAACCTACACCACAGATTACCAAAGACGGAGTTTCAAAGTGAGTCCTAAGGTCCCATGGATTCCCTCTGGAAGACGCTTCTCCAGCTTAGCTTTTAATTACTTGGTAGAAGGAGGCCAGCTTCTCTCTCAGTTGATACCTCAGCACGCTGCTGTCCTTATGTGTTATGTGATCTCAGGCAAAATACTTCAATTTCTTTAATCTCAGTTTTCTTCTATGTTGCGGTACAACGAATTACTTAATATAGCCCTTCTAGCCATAGTCTTTGTGACTCACACACAATGACTGAGTGGGACTAGGCAAATAAGGAATATGGAGCTCTAATAAAGGGATTAATCAGTTTTGCTATCCCGCTAGGCTTAAAATGAGCCATCCCAGAGGCAGGAGGAGAGGATCTCACCATCACCAAGAAAGAACAGCCAGAAGTGGAGTGCATTCTTTGGACCTGGGATACCTGTGCTGACAAGCTCCTGGAACCAGGAGACAGAGGGAGAGCGATGGAGAGCTATAACGTTGAAGATGGCAAGAAGCGGTGGCAGAGAAATGGTGGAGAGGCAGGAGGCAGGAGATTGACAGGAGATGGTGTGGTGGGCTTCCCGGCCCATGGAATGAGAAAGCTGAGCATCTTTGGGTTGAGGCTTACTGGTGGAGCGGGGTGCTTCTGGGCACTTATCGGCAGAGCTAAAAGAGCTCTGTAATATTTGCCCAAGCTGGGCAGAGGCCGAAATCCAGGGAAAGACCTGCCTGCGGGCACAGCTGAGAAGAGGCTGTCCTGATGGAAGAACTATATCCTGAGCATTCCTGAACCTGAACTGTAACTTGTTACTTCCCTAATAAACCCCATAATTGTGAGTATTGTCTGTGAGTTCTATGTGGCCATTGCAATGAGTTATCAAACTCAGCAGAAAAGTAGAGTGCTGTGGGAGGGATGGTTGGCATGAGAATTGGTAAAAAGGTTGGAGGGTGAAGGCATGACCACCGTCTCATAGGAATCAGCCTTGGGCTGTTGATGTTGATTCTCCTTTCCCCTTGTGAAGTTAGAGGAGGTGAGACGCCACCCCACTGAATTCTTAGTCAAGCCAAGTGGGGATAGCACTGCATATGGTATACGACACACGGGGGAGACAGTGAAATGGGAAATAAGATTGTCCTCTAAGGGTAACACTATGAAGTCACCCATAATGGACAAGATCAGCGCTAGACAAGGTGGATAGAACAGCCCCCAGGACAGCAGGCCTTGAAATATAATCTGATTGAAAGCAAACAAACAGTATGTCAGTCAGAAGTGTATGTGGGTTGGAGTAGTGCAGGGATGCCAGATTGGTCAGCCATGGAAGTATAGATATCAGAGAGACATGGAAATAAATGCTGGTAGGGTCTAACACACACCAGGAACAGCATGTGCCCAACAAGACCCTTATGAGCATCCTGTGGACCCATCTATTGTGGAGCCCAAGACCCTGAAGCATTCCCATCATATAATTAGACCCTCTGCTCCACTGCTGAGCTCACCAAGAAACCCTCTAATAATAATTAATTTGTCTTCTCACATCACTTGCCTCCCATAGACAGAACACGTGCTTGTGAGGCTAATGAAAATATCTCATCTATGAGACTGTTCTGTTTCTCAAAGGGGCTTAAGAAACCAGTGGTTTAGTTTCCACTTCAGCCTCTTTTGAGCTTTGCCAGTATGGGTTAGCATGCTAAGGTTCATAACTTCTGCACCCTGATGAGTCTGGTTTCTGACTCTGAACGTTTGGCCAGGATTGAGTTCTGGGAGGGAAATGCTACTCTGCCTCTGTGGCTAGTTTCCCTAGGTGACTAGATGTCATCAACACTGACATAGAGAAATGTCCTCAAGGACTTTCTTCACAGAACTGATGAAAGGATGGACGATAATGGGTGTGAAAGCACCAAAAAATGGCAATTATTATTTTGTCAGTTGGCATGAAAGCAACAAGCCACCTCTTCCCCGTCACGTAAAGGGATGTGTAAAGCTATCTGACACACGTAGCAAAAGCCAAACAGGGATTCAGCCTGGCTCCCTGATTCATGGGTTGTGTTGGCTCAGTTTTTCTATTCTTAAATTCACAGTGTCATTATCCATAATTTCTTTAACTAGGGCACTGATAGGCCTATCTGATAGTCCTCAAATTGCTTCAGCAACTACCCTACTCAGAAACTCCAGAGAGGACAATACTCTACAAATTACCTCATGGTTAACCACTGTGTGCATATACGTGGGGTGGGGGTAGGAGGCAGAAAAGATATTCACACAGTGAGAACAAGGTGGGGATTGAGGTTCCCACAGTAGAGGTATATAGAGTCAAAGACACTTAACACGCTATTAAAAATTCCATACTACTGAATTTTGAAGAAGTTGATTCTTTATCAATAGTATATCATGTTGTATTTTTTTCCCTACATACTTCCAACCTCCTAGCCATAGAACACTTTCTAGAACCATCCCTAAAGATTCTTAGGGACAATAAGAGAATAAATTTTGTTTTAATATACGGGAGACCTTTGTAGCTGTCCAGAGATGAAATGTGCTGCCTCAGGAAGTAGTAAATTTCCCATCACTAGAGGTGCCCAGTCATACACTGGGCAATGTCTTTTCCAAGGTGGTTGTAAAGAAGATTTAATAAGGCATTGGACTGACAGATGACTACCCTTTAACATATCCCTTACCTTATGATTCCCCAAGTTTATGTTGCCTACTACTAAGTATGTGTCTTTGCCTTCCATAACCTCCACAATCTCTCCCTGGGGTTTGCCTTGAATCCCATTTGAATTAAGATCAGCTTAGGTGTGGAACCAAAGGGAGCTCAGGCTACAGTGCTCCTATCAATAAACATGAAACAAAAGCATCATTCAAAAAAAAAAAAAAAAAAAAGGCATCAGAAGAGTCAAGAAACAGAAAAAAGGACTCTCCTCATATATCTTCTATCAACCAAGCCCTTTTCCATTTCTTTTCAGAAACACACACCCCGCCATTATGTAAACCTAGTCTTTCCCAGGTGTTAACAACATTCTCTCACAACACTGTACTCACAACTAACACAAAACAGCCAAGTGTGTAAACAACATATGCTCACTTGTTAGTCTCACCTCAACCCAGAGGAACAGCCATTGCATTGTATGGATCAGTGCCTTCCTCCTCTCCCTCCCGCCCTTCTACCCCTCCCATTCTTTTCATACACTGAACAGCAGCAGCAATTGGGTTTTGGGGTACTAGTTAAACAGACAGGCTGAAGCCGCAGCAATTGGAACGGGATGATACAAGGTCGTACAATAGGGCTAGATGCCACCCCATTGTATGACTAATTGTTCTTGCGACAGAAGGGGACAGCTACTGAGGGAACCTCTTCTTGTCCACTCCCCGCACTGAACCTTGTTACTTAGCTGTTGTCCTTTAAATTGGAAGTGTTTCCCAAGATCAGATGCAAAGACAAAGGTGTCAAAACGGGGCAGGGCATTTGCATAAGAGGATGATCAGAGATGGCTTCTGACACCAGTGGGCCGGCCAGTGGCCCAAGCCTCACTCTCTGCTCCAGCTGCAGCCTCTCAACTCTGCTGCTGGTCAAAGAGGATGACCTCACCAGTTAAGGGAAGCATTCTGTCCAGAGAGTGAACTAGAAGGAAAAGGTATCCCACACCTACTTTCCCTGCTTCCTTCTTCAGGACAGTTTCCCGTTCAGAGCCACTTACCTTTTTCTTCTTCTTCAGAATCACTTTCACTCCATCCACTGAAACCATAATGCTCACTTTCTTCTTCTTGATGTTCTTGGCTTTAAACTCATACTGCAAAAGGCAGAACAAAGAAACACAATCCAGTTAGACCAGTGCATCTGCACAGTCCCAGCTATCTCATGGGTTAGAATGGAGAGGCTGGGTCCAGCTGGGTATAGTGTGATGGCCCAGTTCCTGGAGATACGGAGCATCTCAGGGGATGTAAAAGCAGATAGATGCCTGCAGGCAGGGGCAGGAATCTTCAGGTTGGAATATGAACTCAGAGTGGTCATCAATTCTACCACTCAGCCATCGGGTAGGACCACTGGAATGAATTAATTCATCCTAAGGAGAGCAAAACAGCTGACTTTGAAATTCTCATCAGAAATCCAGAACCTACCCTCAGTGACTCATTCCACCATTGAACAACTTTCGTTGCCAGGCAAGTTTTCCTTGTGGCTAACCGAATGCTGCTAAAACTCCACTCTATCCCTAGTGAAGATTTAGATGAGCTGGCGCCAGTCTTCCATGTCAAGAGTTTTTTACGAACTAAAGATAGTTATTAATTCTAAATTGTTCTCTACAAATTTGATTCTCAAATTCCTTTAATTATCTGTGGGATAGTCTCCAAGTCTACCCACAGCTCTATTAGCCAGAAGATGTTGGGGCTAGAGTGTACTCTGGAAAGGATCTGACGCATGATAGTTACAAGGAAAGGCATTACTTCACAACTATATTCTGAACTCTCACAAGCAGTCCTGAATAGGGCTGCTCCAATCTCAGCCCTATGTGGCTGGTGATGTTGGCCTCATCCTCAATCTCAGATCTTTCTCTGTAATATCTGCTCTTTCATAGCCATTTCTTATACTTATGCAACTATTCATAACTGGTCATATTACTCTACATTTTCCTCCCTGAACTTCACTCTGAGCGCTTCTCCAGTTTATTAAAACCATTCTGGTCGCCATCCTGGTATCACCACCCAGAAAACTTACCTGATATGCTCTCTAATCAAACACCTGGGCTACAGATTTTCCTTAAAAAATATAGTATCACAGGACCCAGAGCCAAGACCTCACTCCAAACCATAGTCCCTCTTCTCAAGAAACCTCCCTCCCCACCCCAACTGCTACTACCTAAGCCTGGAACGAGGCACCCAGCTTAGTGCATGTGCAACTCAAACTTAATTATTTCTATAGTGAGTGTTTTGATAACCTTGGCCATGCCTTTTAAGACTCTTAAGAACTCAACTTAGAGCTTCCTATACTGTCTAAATTCTCTCCCTTTCACTGCAACCTCAGCTCGTCTTCTCTTATTCTGTTGTATAAGGATAGTGTTGACGCCTTCTTGGCTGTCCTTTTCCTATAGACAAGAACACAACCTTGCTAACTAAGGTAAAATGTTTTTCTTTATATTGTTGGGACAGGTTCTGGCTCACTGCTGATTTGAGTTTCCAGGTGACAGCACCCTACATCACTTTCCAGTCTAGGGGTCACCTCTCTACTCTCCCAATCCCTCTACCCTGTCAACCAAACCAGTTTCCACTGAGTTGATTCTGACTCATAGCAACCTGATGTGCGTCAGAGTAAAACTGTGCTCCGCAGGGTTTTCAATGGATGATTTTTTTGGAAGTAGATTGCCAGGACCTTTCTTCCGAGGAGACTCTGGGTGGGCCTGAAACTCTAACCTTTCGGTTAGCAGCTAAGTGTGTAACTGTTTCCGCCACCCAGGGACTCCTCCCTATCAACAGCTCTCCTTTTCACCAAGGGGGCTGAAAGAAAGGCAATGCAGAGAAACAGATGCAAAGAAGAAAGAGGAGAAAACTTTAACCTCCGACTCTGCTTCAGCCTGGGAACCCAAAGCCAACGAAGAGTAAGGAGGTAGAGAACCAGGACATCTGAGGGGATGGGGAGGTGAAGAGTGCATTAGCGCCAGAGTCTGACTCAGGACAGGACCTCAGCCCTGTGGCAAATTCCTTTTGAGGTCAGTGGCAACAAGCCAGTGAAAGCCACATCTTTAGTTTGCAACGTGTACCTCTAACTGCATCATTAAGGTCAGGTACACTTCCAGATGAACTGAAATTACCTCTGGGTGGGAGAACCAGCACGAGAATCTACAAGTTAGCTGACTTTGGCCTTGCGTGGACTGGGAGAGGTGAACCCGCGACATATCCGACCACACCCGCATTTACCTCCGCTCACATGAGCTTTCAATAAACATTGCCTTTCAGCTGTGCTTCCCTTCTGACCAAGTCACTAAAAACAGGGCAGCTCCTGCCCGTCAAAGGGAGAAGTGAGGAATGCCTTTTGATGAATTCCAAGAGGAGTTAAGATCATAAGAGTCCTCTAAGCACCCAGAGGTGGGCAACACCTGCCCTAGACAGGTCAGTCCTTGGCTGTTTTACTATCTTTGATCTTCTCTAGTATGTTTCTCTCACAAGCTCCACATATATCCTTCTTCCCTTTTCTAGCAACAAAAACAATGCAGCAAATATTAAGAACCTCCCTCTGCCAGGCACTGGGCCTTTCTCCCCAGCCCTAGTTTCAGAGAGTATTTTGCCTACTAAGCAGGACCCTCAAATGTGTTTCTAGAAGAATCTTACAGCCCAGCACACCTCTCTTTCTTATTTGGCTTAACTCTTCTCTGGGCCCTTTTTACTCAAGATCCCCCACTCAAGCCTGGCAAGAGGCACCCAGCCAGGTCACTGCCTGGGTATCTTAAATGTAACTATTCCTGCAGTTAGTGTTTTGACAACCTTGGCCACACCTTTTAATACCCTGATCTAAAAACTCAAAATGCAACTAAACTTTCTCTTTGGGACTGGAAAATAGCCTCTAATTCAATTTGTGCACATGCTCCCAGCTGGGCCTTTCAGGGTCTCTTGGCACACTGACTACATGGAAAAGTATGACCAAATGATTTCCTCTAGAATCTCAATGACAGTGACAACACAGGTGCACCTTATAACAGCTGGTGGAATGTCCTGAAGTGCTTCAAAACGAAGAGGGGCCAGAGAGGGACGCAATAGGACTCCAGGTCTGGTTCCAGCTGCCAGTCCCACCTGAGTGCTGTTTATAAGGTTGGACACACTCTGTATCTATTCCACCTGCCGGCTGGTCAGATGTCCCAACCCCTTTCCAACTGAAGAATTAGTAGGCAAACTGCAGTTCTACTGGAAACCATGGAACTGAAAGAAAATCTAGTATCTGAAAATACTTAAATGTTTATTATCCTTAAACCATTTGTTTATACGGCAATTGCACTTCACTTGGACAAGCGTGTATTGTGCTCATTCCAGGGAGAGAAAATGGATGGGGGTGGGGGTTAACGGGAGTGACCAGAACAAAGGGGAGAAGGGAGGTGCAGGGACAGGCCCTCCAGTTCTGTAGTCTGTGCTGCTCCGAGGTGGAGCGCTGCCTGGGCAGGCGGGCTTAGGCATCTGCGTTCCGGGGGATGAGGAGCCGGTCTGCTCAGGCTTTGCCAAGGACTGACGAACAAACAAGACTGCTGGTGCTACCGTCTGCAGCTCAGGCCAGCCTTCCACAAGCCCATGCCAGCCCTGGAGGCTGTGCCAGCAAATCTTGGCCCCTTGGCCCAATGTGGACAGGCTGACCTGGTAGCCAAAGCCCCACCAGCAAGAAGAGACTCAGCCCTACAGGTCCTGACCTTCTAGGGAGCAATGCAATACAAGTCCTAGAACACCAAACGCTGGCTGGAAAGGCCGAGGCAAAGTGTTTGGGCTCCATAAGTAGAGCCTGGGTGCCTGTATTATAACAGCGACCCTAGAACTTGGTGTAATTGCTAACCAGTGAGGCCCACCAAAGGGAGGCTGGGCAGGGGCGGGGGTCCGGATTCAACAGGAGCCAAGAGTAAACATTCCACGAGTGACAGAGTAAGGAACACTGACCACAAGTCAGAGAGCTGCTGACAGGCCAGCTGCTTGGTTTCTGAACATTTCCTGACTTCCCATGCTTCCTTCTCCGTAATTCCCAGAGTTGCCTCGTACCCTTGTGTCTCGTGCCAGCCAGTGTCTGAGAAGGAAGCAGGGGACCTGCAGTAGCTGAGCAAGTTAAACAGCTAAAGGAGCATTTAACGACCGGACAAGCCCAGCGCTCGGCTGGAGGCTCTACTGCAGAAAATAGAATTAAGAGAATTACTTTCTTAGGGGTGAGGGGGAAGGGTTGGAGCTGTCACCCACACCCCACCTTTAACAGTCTATTTTTACTGACAATGTTTATCTCCCTGAAGGGCCCCTGGATGTTTTGACAATTACTGATTTTTAACCAGAATCCTTGGTTCCTCAGTCACTGACTACAAATAATCTGGCTAGTGATGCACTCTCTCACTAGCTCCGTAGGAATTAGCCTGAGACCCATCCTGGTCCCCTCGTTCTTCATCACAAAAGTCATTTTGCACAGCTCCTTCCCACTGTCCCCACGCTGCTCCTGGGTGTGAGCCAAGGCTGGCTTATGAGTCAAGGTGCTCAGAGAGGACTTCACCAAGAGGAGGGAGTTCACTTGGAAGAGGCAAATATTGACAGCTTCGCTCTACAAGTCCTTGGCTTATTTTCAGCTGTGCTCACTAACCTTCTAGAAGAGACCTTGTGGCTTTGCTTCCTGCGAATGATCACAGGAAATTTGAAAGTGAGCTTTGAGAGTGCCATTGGGCATTTTAATCATATTCTACCTGTAGTCGTTGTGTTATGAGTGTGAGCACATCTCCACAACCAGACTGAAGGCCCCTTAACCAAAGGGACTGTCTTATAAGGGGTCTGCAGGAAGTCCTTTTGTACTTATTATTAAAGTTCAGGAGTTAAATAACTTTGGTAGGCATTCCATTTCTGCACTCAAGAAAAGTTGAGTTCGGAAAAGTCAAGTCACACAACTACTAAGCACGTAGTCCTGCATCTACGAAAGAGCAGGTCAGGGATACGAAGCTCAGAATTTTCTGATGTCAAACTTTGGTCGTTAAGACACAAAAGATGAAAACATTTCATAACAAACTCACTTCTTTTCACAGCTCGTCTACTTTAATTCTGCTTGCAAAAGGATATTTGTCACTCCCCCACATGC